CTTCGCCAATCAATCGATTTATACGCCAACGATACTATTTCCGTAAAATTTATCCAAATTTCACGAAAATTGCTTTTATTCCTCTGAAACTTGAAATCGACTGGGTTTTATACTCGCCCAATCGATACCTTCAAAAATCTACAGCGAAACAAGCGTAAACAGACGAAAAAACACGGTTCGGCCCCCAAGTTATCCGATGGTTCGGATTCAGTGGCCTTTGTAAACGATAAAAAGAGATTTAGTCGAGAAAATTACTAGTTTATCCTTATCCAAGGACTAAAATAGTACAAACGATATAAAACATTATGGAAAACCAGCAAAAACCCTAAAACACACTTCAAAACTACACTATAAAAAAACCTAAAACAAACCTAACCAAAAACACGACTTGCCACGTCGTCGGCGAGACGGGCTGTACGCGTACGGCCTCAGCGGAATAGCGGAGCGTCGTTGCGAGTGGGCGCGCAGTACCGTAAGAAAGGGTTGATGAGTTGGCGGGCATGCCTACCGGCAACTCTATATCTATAATTCTTCTTGTTATCCAATTGATTCTTGCTGTTGGAACTCATTTATACGGATTTCTGGGTGTCCCTCTCGCCGGATACGTTCCAATGTGTACTTATCCACCAAAATTGAATTCCAATTTTGACTTGATCAATGAGTTCAGAACTTTTGTTATGGTTTTATGCATTGGGATCACCCTCGTAATTTTGTATTTCAGTGTTAAAACAGAGAGACTGTAAGGGAGTTTGGAATTTAGTTTTATGATGTTTTTTTCCCAGAATACACCAAAGAAGTTATGACACCAGAACGAGATACACGGCTTTTGAGAACATGAACACTTCGAAATCAGTGTGCACATTGATCGTGATCCAGTTTTCGAGTATTTTGATTTCATCGTTTGGGGTTACTATCATTCGGAAATTCGAGCCTGTAATTCCTCAAGAAATTTTTCATACGATTATTCCTTTTTTGCCGGTGAATTTTAAAGTTTTGTAATCTTTAGAAATACCGTGAAATCTGTAATAGAAGGGCTCCACTCTGTAAACTTTGAGCTAATTTATCTCGGTTCCTGTGCAAGATATTAGGTTGGAAGGAAACTAACTCCATTGCTTCATTAGTAAATAATACAAAAACGAGATCAATCCAAGATTGACAGTATGCACCATCGTGGTCCACAACATGTTGGCAAATGTTCAGGTAAATTGTGGATACCATCCTTTCAAAAACATGACTGTCGTTAAAAAATGAAAAAAAAACCTCATGTTCGCGGAAAAGCACGTCGTACCTGAGCCACTTTATCTGGACGGTTCTCCTTCACCCCCCGTTAAAGTTCATTTTTTGTTCCATCAGATTATTAATAAATCGAAGATTTACGACGTCATCTGGAGCGTAAGGAACTTAAAACAAATGATGACTAAAAATGGACTGGAGGGATACTTTGACTAACCAGCTGGCTTTGAAGGGATGGTATCCACGAATTATCTGAACATTGCTAACATGTTGCGGACCACGACGGTACATATTGTCGATCTTGGATTAATCTCGTTTTTGATAAAAAATTGTATCAGTTGAGAATTTTTAAGTGTTTTCGACAGAAACCGAGATAAATTATCTGAAAGTTGAAAGTCAGGGAGCCCTTCTATTAGAGGTTCTATAGTTAATTAAACTTTTCAGGGTGTGACCTACGCAAATCTCTGTCTTCCAGTCGTAATCTACTACAGAACCATTCAAGCGATTCGTCGGAGAAAAACTCGAATTGTGACAATAACTTCAGCGTCGGCAGATGTGGAATCTCATATCAAATGGTTAAATGAAACATGGAGAATGTAATTGAAGTGTGAAAATAAATTTATTTCCAGTGATTTGTAATGTTCAAAATTTAAATTAAAGGAGATCTAACAGATGTACAAACAACATTCTCATCTGGTTGAATAATTCTTGACGTCAGGCAAGAGTTCTCTCTAACAGGAAAATAATGAAAATTGAACTTCCCATCTTCTTCAAAAATCATTACTTTTATAGACATGCTTTACTTCTCATTCTCCTTTTTTTTTTGGAATATCAGACTCTCCCACTCAATACCTTTTTCTTCATTAATCCTCTTCATTTTCTCAATTTGAAAAATATTATTGAGATCCGAGCAACCCAAAGAAAATGAATAGAATTGAAAGCTCCGGATTACCCTCTCCTCTCTCTCTCTCTCTCTCTTCTTATTCTCCCATTTTTGTCGTCGTTTTCGTTTTTCTTATCACTTTACATTGCATTCTTTGCGCCGCGAGAGCTGTTTTGTTATTCGAGAAAATTGGATATAAAATCCATCCGAAGAGCTCCTTCTGATCTTGGATTCTATAGGTCTGGTGGATTTTCTATCTGCATACGATATAGTTTTTCTTTTTGCACGTCTTCAGAATTAGGAAAAAAGCATTGTTCAAGATTTTATGAGCAATACTTTTTTTTCAAAAAGTAATTGTGATAGTTCTCAAATTTGCAAAGTAATTGAAGTTTAGGGTAGGACTGAAAAGTTTTGTTTGCTATAATTTAGCCTATAAAAATTTAGCCTATAAATTCAAGCTCCATACTTTCCGACTGTAGGTTTTTTGGGGAAAAAATCTGTCAACAAGCGGATTTCGAAACTTAGTGTCGTGTGAAATTGTGACTCAACTTTGTTTAAAAATATTCTATCTAGACAGTTCTGAAACTTTTGGAACACGCCCGCCAGATTCAGCCGAGTGACAGTACCCGTAAATAAGATTTACAAAACAGCGTTTTTCAGTTAAATTTCGGCCTTTTTCTGGAGTCTTAAGCTCTGCGGTCAAGTTTCCGATCTCTTTGAAAATTTAAGATGTTGTGAAACAGGTATTCACCGATTTCTGAAGACACCTGTTTTTTCACGTTTTCGGTACAAAACAGGCTAAAAAGTGGGTCTTTCAGAAATCGGCGAATAGCTGAAAAACTTGAAATTTTCAAAAAATTTTGTGAGTGCAAACTTTTCAATCTAGATCTGTTTTACACCCTCAAAACTTTTCAAAGTGATCGAAAACTTGACAGTTGAGCTCCAGACTCCTGAGAATGGTCAAAATGGCCGAGAATCAACTGAAAAACAAGTCTCTGCGTATTTTATTGCCTTTTACTGCAAGCGTTCAGTTTTCATAAACCATAAAAAAATTCTTGAAATTAAGTTCATATGAGCCTCTCGAGGAGTTGAACTTGTGCGAAGGTGCAGGTCGTTTGAAGGTGTGGGTCTCTACCAGCTAAGCTACGCGGGCGAAGCTAGAAAGCGAAAAATCTGTTGTCCTTCTCTCCTTTAAAAATCTTGCTTATGATCCCATTTCTTGGAGAGTTTTAAACTTGTGTTTTTCTATTTCCATGGAAACTATTAACCTTGGGAACATTAGAATCCAAACTAATAATCAATATCCATTACCTTTTATTGCTCATCTTCAAAAGAGGTACAAGCCGTGCATCTCCTTTCAAACTCATCCGGATTACGAATTCTAATACCTCTTTCTCCTCACCTCCTTCCTCATCTCATAACATCCATCTTCCACACCCAAAGAGCTCTCTTCCTCCTCGCCTGTTAGCCACACTCGCCCATTCGTATTGTATTCTGCGATGGATTGTTTTTGATAAGCTCTTTGAATGTAGTGTGTCTCAATCTCCAACAAAACAATCCTTCTGCTGTACTATTGCTCCGCCCTCTTTCTCATTCCCAGTCAGTCGTTCTTTTCATTCATTCTTAATAAGAAAGGGTTTCAGGTAAACGATGATTTACCTCTTTGCTCTCTTAGCCATTGGAATTTATTCTCCAGCACTTTCTACTATCGTTCAGCCAGACCAAATTGCCAAAACTGTCTTTCTCAATGACACTACTTTTGGTAAGATTGGGAGAGATACAGTACCTGGTCAATAAGATGTACAAAAACGTTATTTTTTAACCATTTTCAAGAGTCTAGAGCTCGGCAGTCAAGTTTTCGATCACTTTGAGAATTTCGGAGGGTGTGAAACATACCTAGATTGAAAACTTTGCACTCACAGAACTTTTTGAAAATTCCTCGTTTTTCAGTTATTTGCCGATTTCTGAAAAACACCAGTTTTCAGATGTTTTCAATCTTGGTCTGCTTTAAATTATCCAAAATATTCAGAAATTCGAAAATTACAAAAATCGCAAAACTTCGAGTTTTTCCAAAAATCCCAAACTTTCGAAAATTTCGAAAATCACGAAAATTCAATATCAAGTTTTCAAAATTTTAGTACAAAGTCAAAAAGGGGTGTCTTCCGGAAATCAGCAAAAAGTTGAAAAGCTAGAAATTTTCGTAAAATTCTGTCAATGCAAAGTTTTCAACCTAGGCCCGTTTGATCGGACAGGCGACTTGACAGGCGAGCTCCAGCCTTCTTAAATAGGTCAAAATCGCCGAAAATCAACTGAAAAAACCATTTTGTATATCTTATTGACCAATACAACAAATCAAGACAGTGCAAAATTAAGGCCAGCCGCGGCCAAGGCCGGCTGCAACTTTCAATGTGAAAGCCATGAAAGCTGGGCCTTTTCCAATTTCGCTCTGAAGCAGCGGCCGGCCGCGGCCGGCCCTGGCACCTCCTTGCAATAAATCAATTGTTTTAAGTTGCCTACAACGAATCCACTACCAAATGCCGCATCGAATGTGCTGACGCAGAGACAATGCTCCAACAGGATTTCCGCGCATATCAAAAAGTTTGGATGTACAACAACACTGAAATGTTCTCAGCTGTCGACAAAACTTTTATGGACGCCAACCGCAGTATCGAGTAAGACTTGTGATTTAGGTTTTCAGAAGACATCCCAAGTTTTAGATTTCAAGCTCTCAATGTTGAAGACTCTGGCGCCTATCAATGCTGCATCCGTTCCACTGACCTTGCATACCAATCTTTCGTTTGCTACAGTACTTTTCTGATTGTGTTGGATGAGATGCCAGAAGATGGAATTAATGCAACTGCTATCCCTATTACTACCGGTGAGTGGAATGATCGAAGCCTGAAAAGTTAGGATTTCAGAAGCTCCTCCATCGCCATCATGGAATGTAGTGCTGGAGAACGGAGACACCTTGAATGCACAGGCTGAGAATAACTATTTTCTGAAAATCTTCGAGGATAACGTGACAGCAATTCACTGCTTGGTGAACGAAGTGGAAGTCAACATTAAGACGGTGAGACAGATGTTTTTTCTAAGTACCGTAGTCCAGAATTTTTGTAGTTGTAGGTTTGTGTCTGTGTCTTAAAAATACAATTTCGGTCTGATACTTGTCTGGCATCTGAAAGAGATTGTAGCTATTATCAAACTGTAGAGATCAAACAGGTCTTGGTTTTACTTCAATGATCGTTGCGGCCAAAAATTCGAGAGTGGGCAGAGCATAGGTCCCGTAGCGAAATCCTTAAAGGTGCATGTTCTTTCTTAATTTTTTCTGGTTTTTTCTCGATTTCGATGAATTTTGTCGATTTTTGAATACATTTCATTGCTTTTCTGCTATTTTTTTTGCAATTTTTCGAATTTTTTAAAGAAAAAATTCAAAATTTATGAAATTTATCGAAAAATCGAAAAAGCCTTCTCATAGTTAATTACTTTTGCGATTTGTCGAATTTCTGTGGAAAAAATGAAAACTATTGAAAAATTCGACAAAATTCGTCGAAAAATCGAAAAAAAAAACCAAGAAAATAGTTACAAAAATACATGCTCCTTTGAATGCGCCTTTAAGAATTTTGCTACCAAACTTAAGATCCGCCCACCCTCGATTTTTTCGCCACCATGCGCATTGACATTAGACCAGAGAAATAGAACCTTTGATTTTTTCGATCTGGCTTCTGAACATTTCTATTTTCTGGACCCTGAAAAGTTTGAGAATCAATTACGTCATGAGTTGAACTGCCAAGCACATTAAGCTATAAATCATAATGAAACTCGTTTCTATGATTTCCTAGAAAGCCATATGTTTCAGAGCAACTCGTTCCCACCTCCGCTTTACAACGACATCCTCATTCACTCGTTCAATTTGACTGATCACAGTGGCCTTTACGTCTGTAATGGAACACTCCAAATCGGAAACGAAACAACCATCGAGAGTGTGTCATTCACCGTATCTCAGTCATGGAACGACAACAAAAACGCGGATTTGTTGGACGCGAAAGTGGTCGCCGAGGCTCTCAAATCTGCATTCACCGTCTTCTCCGCCTTCTTCATCCCTCTTTTCATTCTTCTCGCCGTTTTCGGAGCTTGATTTCTATGCAAATCTTCATCTCTCTTTTCTTCTCTTTTCTTACGTTCCCAAGTATTTTTTGAGCAGCCAAAATATATTTTATGCATGACGCCATTAATTCCCCAATCACTAATAAGGGAACCTCTAAGCGCAGATTTTTATGAAAATTTTAGGATAGGTTATGAATCTAGACACTTTTGATAATTTTACAATCCGCTTGCCAGTTTCAGTACCAAAAACTTGCCGTTTTCAGTACCGAAAATTGCAATTTTTTTCAGTACCAAGTTTTCGATAAATTCAAAATGTAGAAGAATTCGAAAACTTGAAAAAAAAATTCGGAGAAAATGTTTGGGATACGAAATTTCATCAAATTCTAAGTATAACACAACAAATTCAATGTTCCAAAAGTTCTAGAGATGGAGAAAATCGTCTTCGAAAATCGCAATTTTTTAATGTTGGAAAGTTCTCAGAAGTGCCGTAAAACCTGCAATAGGAGGGCCCTCAACGTTGAGCTCATTTTTCTTGGTTTCCGTGAAAGATATCAAAAAGTTGTAAACTGATAAAATGTTTGTAATATTATGATAAACAATTTATCAGTTTGCAACTTTTAAATATCTTTGACAAGAACTGAGATATACGGCCTCGAAGTTGACGTTTCTGGTGGTCCTCTATTATAGAGTTTATGTTCGGCTGTTCATAAAATATCCTGAAAACATTGAAATCTTGGTATTAAGTTTCCCTTGTAAATTATTTTTTTCCGAGTGTTCTCTGTCTCTTCTCTTTCTTTCCAATTCATTTTGATCAAAATTTCCCCTAATCCCAACCCCATGGCTCTCTTTCTTCATTGCTTTTTCACAAACCAGTATCGCTAATAAAAAATTTTTGGAACGACTCTCATTTCGACCCGAAACGCAATGAAATGTTGGAAGCTCCTGTTTCCACAAAAAGTACACTGAGGATAAACTAGGAGAAATATTATAAGAGAAAATGGAGACGCAGAGATACTGGGAGCCCAACATATGCTCCCGCTTTGCAAAAAATTCTCTTTAAGAAAAAAAATCCCAACGAATTTTTCTCTTTTTTAAAATTGTGTGTAGGAGGATCGGACATATGGAGCCAGTTATCTTTTATGGGTTGCTCTTTTTTGAGTGTTATTCAATTTTTTGAATTTTGTAAAATTCCACAGGATTACTGTATTTAGATCCTCTGACTCCTAGAAACCCAGAACTGATTTCGATTTCTTCAAGTTTTGTGTGTTACCGGATATATTCTGCAAGTAGAAGCTTCAGTGTAAAAAAGAGAAAAAAAAGAGAAAGTCTGAAGAAAACTTGATACCTGACCGTGGGAAAACTGCAAAAATGTTGCGAACGGGCGACCAGAGATCCAGCGTTTTTGAGATTTCAGAAATTCAGAAATTCAGAAAGTCAGTAATTCAAAGTTTCGGTAATTCAGAAATTTTTAAAGATTCAAGAATTAGAAAAAACTAACTTTTTAAAATTTAGACTTTCCCGATTTTTGTATTTTTGAATTATTGGATTTTTAATCATTCAGATTTTCAGATTTCCCAAAAAATTACACAAAACTGAAATTCTCAAATTCTAGACTTCTCAAGGAAACGTTTCGATTATCAAAAATTCGATTCTCCGTTCTGAAAACTCCTTTAATTCATGAAATTTTCAGCATTTTCTGAAAGCATTTCATGATTTTCTGAAAATTCAAAGTTTTAAACATTTTTACTACTGGAGCTAAGCTCCGCCCATCTTTTTTTTGTTCCTACAGGTTGAAAAAATTGGTTAGAAAAATGTTCAAAAACGACTTATCTTTAATTTTTACAAATTTTTATTCAAATTTTTCTAGATTTTTGCCTTTTTTGTTCTCGAGACGTTTGCTATTTTCAACCATTTTTCGCTCACGGTCTCGGAACGTTTTTCAAAATAAATTTCTTTCGCGCATTTTTTTGGTGTGCAGACACGCCTGCGTAGCGACTCAGCAGTTCATTTTTCAGCATGCGCGTCGATACTCAGTCCACGGTATTCTCAGTAGAGCGCATTTACTTCAGAAAATTCACCGTCCTAGAAAACTCATCGTGTCGGTGTTTTTTTGGTCGATACAGGGAATTTATAGGAATCTCATGAAAAACGTAAAAAATAGACAAAAACCAAAAAACTGATTTCCCGACTTTCCCCCGATTTCCCCCAAAAATCCCAAGAAAACTATCATTGAAAAATTCGGTAAAACTTTAGAGAAAAAATATTCCCAAACAGGTATGATGTTATACAAAACGGACAGTACTAAACAAAAATGATTCTAAAACTGCCGCCTGAGCTTTCAAAATCGTACAAAATCCACATACACTTTTGTCTCCTCTGAGAGGAGGAGTCCTCTCCCAATCCCATCCTGTCAACAAGTCATTTCTATATGTTGGATCGGCGACCAAGACCAGCATTATATTTCATCCCCAAAACTCCATTCTCCTATGTCTCCTCCCCACCCACCCATACTTTCTTCCTCTTGTCCTCCTTCTTCTTCTTCCTTTCATTCTTCATCCTGTCGTGGTCATGTTCACGCCATTGCACTCTCCACAACCAGAGCCTTCGACATCCAGAGCTTTTCCCGTTTTTGCCGCCCTTTCTTTCCTTCTTCATCTACTTCCATCTGTCTAATAAACATAGTGCATGTATGGTGAAACGAATCCCCCCTTCTCCCTCGTTTTCTTCATTCCCTATTCGCCATGGCGTCCGTTGCCACGCCTTCTCCCCTCTTCTCTCGCTGCTCATTCCTTTCACCTTTTCTTTCCTTCTTTTTTTTTGAGCCGACACATTCTGACAGCTCTTGCTCTTTTCTTTTCTCATCCGTCTTCGTTTGCTGTCCGTCGCCGTTCGGTTGTCATTAGCGACCAATTTTGGGCTTCTGCCTTTTGAATTCGTGTTTTTCGAGAACGAGTAATCTGAAGGTCTATGTAGTGTGTCGCACTTGCAAAACTTCATGCATTTCGAATTAGTGAGAGTTTAGATTTTTTTTTTCTTTTGCAAATTTGTGATCAGATGACTTTGAAGACGTCAATGCGTTTGTATTATATTTGATTTTTGTAATTTTCGAAAATGTTCAGAAAATCGGTGTTTCTGGAATTTCGAATTTCTGAATTTCATAAATTTTCAGATTTCTTGGAATTCCCGCTTTTGTGGAATTCTTAAAAAAGTTTTGAAGTTTAAATCTTCCGGAGAACATTTGGAAAATTTTCAAAATTCTGAATTTTTGTAGTTATGAATATTCCGATTTTCCGAAATTTTTAAAATTTCATGTTTATTCGACTTTTTGAATTTTCTATGATTTTTCAGATTCTCAGAATTTGCAGAATTTTTTTGAAGCTTCAAATTTCAGAATCTGAAAATCTAAAAAGTCTTCAAGATCTCAGAAATCTCAGAATTTCAAAATTTCGAAACTCAATTTTTGTGAAACTTTTTGAATTTGGCGCCATTTTTCAGAGTTCTGATTATCAGTGGTAGGTATACAATGCGTTGTCTCCCTTCCACTAGGACATCCGCATTTTGGCGCCAAATTCGAAAAATTCAGACGTTCCGTAAACCTGTAATAGAAGGGCCCCTACACTGTTATGTTTAAGCTCGATTATCTCAATTCATATGCAAGCTATGAAAAATGTGTCAACTGATGAAATGTTTGTTATATTACGATAAACAATTCATCAGTTAACAACTTTTCTATACCTTTGACAGGAGTCAAGATAAATTTACTCAAATTTAAAAGTTAGGGGCCCTTCTAATACAGGTTCTACGGTATTTGCTAACTACGGTATTTCGGCCGTGGCCGTGGCCACCAAATTTTCTCTTCCACATATTCGATTTTTGGGCACAACAACATCTAGATTCTTCGTTTCTAGGAGACGAGAGAATGTCCTTTTTTTATTAGCTGCAATTTCGCGGAACCCTAGAATACCCAGAATTCCGAGATTCCTACAACGAATGAACATAAATCACTGTTTTCGGAGGTTCTCCTCTTTGTTTCATCATCTATCCTTAAATAACTTTTCTCCGCTTGATTGCTTCTGTGCATTCAGCCTTCAAAACACAGAATTTGGCTCTTCCGCTCGGATCCTCTATCTCCATCATTTACCTCAGTCATTTGCCCTCTTCTTTACTTCTCCGTCTACATCTTTTTTCTTCCTTCGCTTACTTCTTTTTTCAACATCATCAACACTAAAACGTTTAGTTAGGAAGAGACGACGTCTCTCTTTTTTTCAACTTGTTCTTCTTCTTCCTCTTCTTCTGATTCTCCTTTTCCATCCACTCGACTTTCCTCCTCTTTTTAATTGCCGAGAGGCCCCATCTACTCGTTTATAGAGTTTATGGGTAGGATTGTGGACAACGAATCCATTTTTTCTGGACTTTTCTTCACATTCCACAATTTTTTAATATCCATCTGTCCCCAATTCCCCGCTCCTCATCTTTTTTTCTATTTTTCCCACTTCAAACAAATGGAGCAAAATAGCATTGAGCATTCCAACGGCGAGAAAAAAAAATGAATTTCAAAAACTCGTCCCCTTCATTTTTTATTGGTTCATTCTAACCAACTGACTCACACCACCACCACCACGAAGCTCCGCCTCTCTTATATCCGCACAAAAAGTTTCGAAACCCTTCATTGTTTGTCTTCTTCTTCTTTGTGTAAGATCTGGTGTCTACTGTATTCTTATGGAACGAACAAAATGTTGACATTGTAAAATGCTCCAATTTTTCTTCTTTGGAGTGAGTTTGCCAATATGGCAACTTTTTTTTTTTGCAAAATTGGCGGTGACCCAAAAAAAGGAGTTTTTGGAACAAGTGATCATACCAAAGAGTTCTGTCAACTTCAGTTAGCATCAGTTGTCTACAGTATACTTGAAAAATCAGGGCCCGGAAATAAGGGATTTTTGGCGAGTTTTAGGGCAAATTCGAAGTTTTTGATAGTCGAAAAATGGCTGGAATAGGGTTAAATTTGCTAAAAACTTTGGCTTAAAATTGACTAAAATTAATTTCTTGAAATTGGCTCATAACTGGCTAAAAAATTGACAATTGATTTTTTTAATTAACCAATTTTTAACCAATTTTTACTTAATCTTAATAATTTTTACTTAATCAGGATCTTATTATTTGACAAAAATTTTTACATGTTTTGCTGACCTTGAATTTTTTTTTGAAAAGACGAACACATTATTGAAACTCGCGCCGAAACGTGCCAAGCCGCGCCGATGGCCTGCCCGCACCCTCCCACACCCACCAGGGTGGCTCATCCTTTCACCCAAAAGTCCAAAGTTCAATCTTTCTAAAAAATACAAAATTTTTCCCATTATTCTGTTTAATTTTCATCCTTCTAGTTTGTCTGAGAACCGAGATATACCTAGCTGTTTGAAGTTTCGGAGAGACGCAGACAGCGAGAGTGCCTCGTTGTCTGCGTCTTTCGCCTCCAAAACTTCAAATCTATGTATCTCGACTTCTAGATGATCTAGAAACTTGGATTTTCTGATTGTAGAGAAAATTTTATATTTTCTGGCGAAATTCACATATCCATTTTATAGTTTTTCTGTTATTTTCTTGATTTCTAGAAAATTTATTTTTTTCAAAATTTCTTACGGTACAACTAGAAATAAGATTATTCTAAACTCTAGCGGAAAACTGCAGCTGAATCCCTTTAAATCTTCCTGCTCGTCTTGTCAATTTCCGGTGGTGCAAAATACTATAATTATTGTCCGGAAATGCCGCTCTCTCTCTTTTCCCATCGTGTCCTCCTCTTCTTTTCTCTTTTCCTCTTCTGATGATGATGATGATGTGTTCGTCTGTCAACCGTGTCGAATCATAACGCTTCCCTTCATTTTTTTGCAACTTTTTTCAAAATTTTCCCAATTTTTTCAGGAACCTACGAATGAGGTAATACTATGCGGCCTCTTCAAGTTCTTCTTTTTTCGACGCTGATGGCGTTTTGCCTGGGTGTGAGCAGTCACGTCTTCCAAGGTTTGTGCAGTTCTCATGCCAGAGTTTAGAATAGTTAAAACGGATTTTATTCGATTTCTAGTTGTTCTGAAAGAAACTTTAAAAGAATATAATTTTCTAGAAATCAAGAAAAATGTATTGCTTAAATTTTCAACTTTCTGCAGGAAAGATACACTTTTCTCTGCAATTAGCAAGAAAATCCAAGTTTCTAGCTTATCTAGAAGTCGAGATACATCGATTTGAAGTTTTGGAGACGAGTGACGCAGACAACGAGGCACTCTCGTTGTCTGCGTCTTTTCGAAACTTTAAACAGCAGTATATCGGCTCTCAGACAAGCTAGACATATAAAAATTAGACAGAATAATTGGAAAAGATGTGTATTTTTTAGAAAAATTGAAATTTGGACTTTTGGGTGAGAGGGTAAGCCACCCTGGTGGGTGTGAGTGGGTGCGGCCGGGCCATGGGTGCTGAAACTGGCAACTGTAATTGGTAGAACTCTTTTGATGTAGCCTTTGGTTTCCGTGGTTTCGATGATTTGGTCAGAAACGGCTGGTTATCATATTATCGAATTAGAGTGTCGTGCCAAATTCGAAATCGCACCTGAAATTCCTGGCCGTTCTCGGTTCCCACAAATTATCTTTCGCCTCTAAACTTGTGATTCAATTAGTTTCTGCGTCTCTCATCATCACTAGACTCTCGTCTACTATCTCATCGGCTGATTGAGTACGGTAACGAAGCAGAACGAATACATTTCCCATGCCTCCTCGTCCTCTCGCGACTTCTTTTCTTCTCAAATTATAGTTGTGACATTTGGCGCCTCACACAACAAAATTGATGAGTGTCTTGGGGGGTTTCCAGAAGATTTACTTGAGTAGTAGTAAACTCGCGCTACTTTTGAATACTATTTACGCACGAAACCCAAAAAGAGAGGATTATTTTTCAAATGTGGGTGAATTTTGTTGCAAAAATGTATTTCACTCTCTCTTCAAAGGGAAGAAAAGAGCAGCACAAAAGAAATTACTCTTGAGGATAATTTTGTCGACGACGACAAGTGCAAAAAATTTCGTTTTTTTGAGAAGCAGCAGCAGAGAGCAACACAATGGGAGGCCTTCCCCTTCTTCTTCTTATTCTTGGTTTCACAGAAAAGAAGGTTACTGCGTGGGACACAACACTCGAATCTAATTAATTTCCGTTAGGGGAGGGAGTTTTACGCCAAACAAATTATTGACCATGTCAAGTCATCTGGATACTACAACTGAAGACAAAAGCAAAAGCCAGACTCCTAATTTATTTCGATAGGGATGTAATGAGATGAAGGAGTTGTGGGGAAGCTAGGGGCTCGGTAGCTAGGGATCAGGGGCTGACTAATTTTTTTGAGGATACAGAAATCGGGGAAGCTTGCTGAGCATCCGACTTTTAGTTAACGCATTCTGAAGTTTGTAAAAAGACTCATCCTATTGCTTTTCTATATTTAGAATTGCTTTTGGCATATCAAATTTTTCTTCGAAAAAATGCCAAGGTGGTTCCCAATGGAATTTTTTTTGAAAAATAAGGAACTTTTTCAAATTGCAGAGAAGCATTTAAAAGTACAATTCACAATCAAAAAGTTCCGAAAAACTGTCATTAACATTTTCAAAAATTCCCTCCAAAACTGAGAAATTAGTATTGAAATCACTTTCAGAGCTCATAACTTTTTTCACAGAGCAGGAATGGAAGAACTGACTTCAGTACTTTAATCAGCATATCGAAAAGTACAAAAGACCCGACATTATGATAAACATTTTATCAGCCACATGGTAACGGCTGCGCATGGTATATGTCTAGGCGCGCATATAGGATGCTATGTGCACCCATAATAATTCCGTGGGTAGCGCGTGCGCGCTATATGCGTCGTCGCTGGGCACGACTGGTCGCCGGTGGGCGCACCCATATAGCATCCATATAGCATGCACGCTTTTCCCATGAAAACGACAACCCATCAACGACACTCCGCTATTATGCTAGTGCGCGTTGTTTAGCAAAATTTTTCACCGCCGATCTTGATCAATTTTTCCATCATATTGATCATATTTCCTGCTTTCAAAGAACTTCTCACTGTTTTCACATGTTAAAATTATGGCTAACGAAAATAAAACTTATTTTTAGTAAAGAAATAGGTAAAATTTTTCACAAAATCCGGTTTTTCTTGAAATTAGGACTTTTCTGTTTTACTTCGGAATAAGCGGAATAATATATTTTTCAGGTGAAATACAGGTTGGTTGGTAAGTTTTCCGATTATTACGATGTAAAAGTAGGAAAAAATCCGAGAAACACAAAATTATTTCGAAAACAAAATTATGCGAATTAATGCCAATTTCAAGACTTTGTTGAATTTTTTTCAAGTTTTCTATATCGCAGTTTTGAAGGAAAAATTTATTATGTTATATCATCCAGATATTTTTAACTTCCTGACATAATTTTTCTTGCTGTGAGAAAATTCTGTGAAAACTGGAAAAAATGGTCACTCTGTGAAATCTGAAAGGGAAAATGAACGATATTGGAAGATCTGAACAAAATCACATCTTATTACAACTATAGTTAGATGAATTAATCCATAAGATATATCCATCGCCAATACGACCTGAAATTGTAGATGAAATATGGACGCGTCATGCCCGATCTCGATGGCGCGTGCGCGCATATAGCGTACTATATGCGCGCAAACGGTGTACCTATGTCGTCCATATGAGGCGCCGCGCCAACGCATATACCATGCGCAGCCGTTACCCTGTGAGTTGACAACGTTTTGATATCTTTCACAAAAAATGAGATATGTTGCCTCAAAGTTTACGGCTTGGGGGTGGATTTTTTTTTCAAGAATTAAAAAACTTTGAAAGATTCTAAACTTTGAAATTTTATAATTTTATTTGAAAATACTGTTTTTAATGGATTTTGTAATGAAGTGTAAAAGTGCACCCTGGTAATAAAACAATTGCCCAGATACCAAAATCCATTTAATCAAATAAATGGACTCACCACCACGGATCTACACAGACTTTTATGATGTGGAACAACAAAAGATCCAGCAAAAGATTTGACAGAAACTCATAAATTTTTTATTAGGTTTTTTGAAGGAGCAACTGACACCAATCACTTTTCTTAGTCATCAACTTGTTTTACATTCCTTTCTCTTTTTTTCAGGGTCATGCGCATCGGAACATGTGCTCTGTGAACAACTCTGCGAAACGCTGAGCCCAGAAGCCTATGAATGCTCCTGTTGGGAGGGACATCTTCTACAGGACGATGGATTGTCATGCAAGTTGAATACGGATGTTCAGTATGAGGCAAAAAAGAGAACGAGAAAATTGGAAACCAGTACTCGCCCATTCAGAAAGTCATCTGGAGAATACAGAAAGAAATCCAAGAGAACTAAGCCAGTGTCATTCAAAGGATCCAACTATCTAGAGTTTCCAATTAAGGAGGATACTTATTTGGAGACCAATATTACCATTCAATTCAAGTAGGGATTAGTGGTGGACCGCAAAAAAATAAGATTTTTTCAGAGTTGAGGAGCACAAGGATGGTATCATTTTCTTCGGAGGAGAACTCATGGGAGACGATTTCCTTTCGATCACTCTTGATGGACCAAACATTGTCACAAGGTGGAAACTTTTGATATTTTTTCGTTTAGAGATTTTCCAAAAGTTGAAATTATGGATCCGTGTCACTTGGAAACCGTGGTAATACAGGCAAATGAATGAATTTCATACCTCAAAAACAGGTTAGGGGTTTTCAAATATGCTTTTTCCGATATAGCACATTCTGAATATCGAAAACATTTTTTTTGGAAAAATTTAACTTTGAACTTTTTGAGTTTTGGAGTGCTTTCTCTCCGAAAAAGCATATTTGAAAACATAACAAAATTTTTGTGGTCCGAAACTTATCTACTTGCCTGTATTACAATGACCGGTTTAGAAGTGACACGGTGCCGAAATTGCGCTGGTAAGCAGAAATCGGAGCTGTGGAAGAGAAAATTTAGTGTCCGCGGCCAAGGCCGAACTACCGTAGTCAGTGAATACTTTTTTCATATATATTTTTCTCGATTTTCGTCCGTTTTCCGGCATTTTTTTAGATTTTGAAATTTTTATTTTCCGCCTTTCTTGAAGGTTGCAAACGCAAAAGTTGTCAATAACCAATAAACCGTATGTCCTCTAACTTTGAGCTAAATTGTGAAAGATATCAAAATTTTGTCAACTGATGAAATGTTGGTGATATTGTGATAAATATTTTATCAGCTGGCAACTTTTTTGTATCTTTTGCAGAAATGGGATAATTGAGTTCAGTGTTAAAATTTAGCTTCCTTGTATGCTGGTGTGTAGAACTTGGAGCTGTGGAAGAAAATATCTGGTGGCCGCGACGGCCAACTACCGTAATAAGCAAGATTTACTTTTATTTTGTTCCCTATTTTCGTTCGTTTTCCGGAAATTATCGGGATTTAGTTTGGAGATTTTCTACACAAAGATTGTCAAAAAGCAAATCGAGAAAAAAGACCAAAAAATTTAGGAACCCCACAATTTTTCCTTCCACAGCTCCGACTTTTTTGTATCAGAATAATATTCCAAATTTAGAAACGAAATCTCGTGATTTTCTTACATCAAAAAGCTGAAAAAAACATATGATTTGATTCAGCTGGAAACACTTGAATAGTTTTCTGAGAAACAGCTGAAAAATAAATATCATATGAGTAATAAAAAATGTTCAGACATGATTGTGGAGAAGGGACCATCGAAGACATGTATCATGGACAATTCAAAGTAGGCGAGTGGCACGAAATTCAAGTTTGGAGAAAGAATTGCGACTTGACTGAAATGTCACTGGATGGAGGGAGAAAGTTGGTGGATCATGCCGATGAGTTCAGAGTGAGAATTCTTGTTTTTTTCGTCAATTTTCTTTTTTTTTTGCTTTTTTTAGAACTACAAGGGCATCACCATGGACGAGGGAGTTTTCCTCGGAGCCGCTCCCCATAATATAGAATTCCTTCAACAGAAAACAGGAACATCTGACGGATTCAAAGGATGTGTTCGATTGGTGAGAAATAGAAAAACAAGAAAACAAGCGAAATTCGTTTATCCACGGATTTGGGCCCAAAGTGGACAATTCAATATACTTTATTCGCTATTTACAGCTCATCGTCAACGGAGAAACTCTTCTGAACACCAATGAAACTATCAACAAGGCTTATGAAACAGCTTCCACTTGTAAGAGATTATATTTCGAATTCTGACAATTAGAAATTAAAAAAAATTCAGATTACTGTGGAGAAATTGATCCATCGCAGAAGAGGATTGTGATTGTGACTGACGAGATGCTCGCCAACGGAACCACCATGGAAGATGACGATGAAGAAGTGATTAAGATTGAGATGTATGATTTGACCCAACCTGGAATTCCAAAGATTGACAAACCACCAGGCAGTAAGTTAAATTCACTTTTAACAAACGATTTTCCACATAAAGCGAAGCGAAACCAGCGATGTGCTGCGGCCGCAAAAAATGCTGGAGTTTTCTAGGCCATTTGCTTGTCCTCGTGGACTCCACGGTCAGCCAAGCGAGACTCTTGCAGGTTGCGCCTTAATTTTGGAGCTCGTGAATCCCGATTTTAATTAGTGAGTTCATGAATCGCGCTCTTAATTTTTGAGCTCACAAATGGCGTTTTGAATTTTGGAGCTCATAAGTTGCGCTTATAATTTTGGAGCTCACAAATCGCGCCTATAATTTCGGAGCTCGTAAATCGCGCATTTAATTTTCGAGCTTGTAAATCGCGTCTATAAATTTTTGAGCTCACAAATTGCGTTTTAAATTTTGGAGCTCATAAATCGCGTCTTTAACTTTTGAGCTCGTAAATCGCTTCAAAATTCGAGGCACATGGAATTTCCTGCAAAGGGTCTTGCTTGGCTGACCGTGAAGTCCACATGGACAAGCAGGTGAACTAGAAAACTCCAGCATTTTTGGCTGCCTAATCTAAAAGTCCCCCTTGAAAATTTCCAAACTAGTGCTCCCTTATCCCCTTACAAGGATCTCTTGAAACATTTGAAAACTTTGTCCCCTTCCAAATTTTTTTGGCTCATTTCCCAAAAGACACCTCCTAAAAAACTCCAAAAAATTTGAAGCAATCTGTGCAAAAGAGCTAACTCTAATTCAATTTCTAGTTTCCATCAACCACCCATTCACTTTTTTCCTGGAACGATGTATCTCCCAAAAATGAGATGTTCATCGAAAAAACACTTAAAAGTGCGCTTCTCTCGCTTTTCCGCTGCTGCTCAAATCCAAAAGATGGGCGGGGCTACGTCATCTGCTGAAGAAAAAGAAGAAGAGAAGAGACAGAAGCACATTCTAAACTTGGGGCGTGTGTGTGTCCCTTCTTTCATTTCACACATCTCGTTATGTTCCTACCGTTTTTTCTCCTTCTATTCTATGGCGCATGGGCGATGCCATACGATTATTATGGAGGGTTTATTGAGCAAATGCTAGCGGATCAGTTAACTGAACTCGTCAAAAATGACACGACGCCTGTTACAGTGCATCCGTCGATTGCCAAAATGTTGGAGTCAACTGCTACACCGCCGCCGTTGGGACATCCAGTGCTCAAGGAGATTCTTGGATATGGAGGTTTGTTTTTTTTTTTTGATTAAAGGTGGGGGGAAGGAGGTATGTAAATTTATCTTTCGAAAATCAAAAAAAAAAAAATCTTTTCGAAGAGTTGAACTTGTGGGACAAGTATTGAAGGTTCGGCGTCGCTACCAGCTGAGCCACGGTGGCGCAAGCTAAGGGGCTGAACGAACTTTGAGGTAATTTATCTCATTTCGTGTCAAAGGTATCAAAAAGGTGTCAACTGATTAATTGTTTATCATAATGTCGCCAATATGTTATTAGTTGATGACTTTTTGATATATGTTACGGGAACCGAGATACAATGCCGGCATATGAAACAACGTGTTTTTCAGTTAATTTTTTTTAGATCCTGAAAAAGGTCAAGATGGCCGAAAATTCACTGAAAAAAACACATTGTTGAGTATCTTATTGACTGGTATTGTATTTCGGTTCCTGTAACAGCTATCAAAGTGTGCTTAACTAATAAAATGTTACAGATATTACGATCAACATTTTGTTAGTTTTCAACTTTTTGATATCTTTCACAGGAACCGGGATATATGGGCTCAAAGGTCTTATCGCCCCTCCTTTAAGGTCATAATCAATTTGATGTTGACTGATCTCTAGAAACTCACACGACCTTATTTTTATTTCTAGCTGAAAACAACCTCAAATTTTCAATTTTCACTATTTCTAAAATTCATGAAAACTCTCAAGACTTCTAGAAGCAATCATAAGCATTATGAATCATATGCGGAGTGACTTATAAAAATTAGAAATCACAGTGAGGTTTCAGCTGTCTGCCCTCTGATGACATACTTTTAATTCTATTTATAGATACAGAACCACTGCTGAATATTCTATTATTTAGCCGGAAACTTTTTCTTTCCGTTCTTTTTCTCCTCCTCATTTCTTTTAGGCATCGTTCTGTGCCCATTATTAGCCACCCCTCATTTTCTCCGTCCATTTTCTCGTTGAGCTCGACGCATTTTCTGTAAATTGCCATCCCCGTTTTATTGTTTTTTTCTTTATTTCTTCTCTTTTTTCACAATTCCAAACGACTTTCAACTTTAAAAAAAGCTCAAAAAAATGAAATTTTTCCCTCCGAAACAGCCTAATCTTTTTTCCCTTTGTCCACTTTCTTTTTGGTTTCGGAAGAAGGAGAAGAGACCTTTTTGAAATATGCATAACAAACAAATAATGTCACGCATCGCCGAGATATGACTGCCACATTTTGTATATTGATGAGAAGAAGAAAAAGGAAAGGAAGGAGAAGAAGAAGAAAAAAATAAGAAGAAGGAAATTTGATAGCATTGTTTCATGACAACTTTAATATGATGTAAATTAGAGATGACAGATATCATTGCACATCAATTTTCGGCACTCTCTTTTTTAATGGATCTGATGTGTTTTTTAGGTCATTTAGAAGGGTGGCATATTGATGAAAAGGAAGGAGAAGAAGAGGCCTAACTTTCGCGAATTGAGTTTTCTAGGTCACCAACTTTGACGGCCTAGAAATGACCCATATTCACCTGGTGAATTTTCTAGACCATTTTAACATTATGGCCTAACTATCACATGTAGAGGTTTCTAGGCCACTATGGTGAATGACCTAGAAACGGCCCATATTCTCCTGATGGGTTTCTTATGTCATTTTGACATGATGACCTAACTTTGGCAAGTTGATTTTTCTAAGCCATTTTAACATGATGGCCTAACTTTCACAAGCTAAGTTTTCTAGGCCACCAACTTTCTTGGCATAGAAATGTTCTGATATTCACCTGGTTGGATTTCTAGGCCATTAAAAATAGCAGCCGAACTTTCGCAAGTAGAGTTTTCAGGGCAATCAATTTTCATGGACTAGAAATATAATGGTATTTACCTGGTGGATTTTCTTTGCCATTTTGACATGGAGGCCTAACTTTTGCAATTTGACCTCTCTAGGCCACCATGGTTAATTGCCTAGAAAACACACCATGTATATCAGGTCATTGCTAGGTCATTAACCATACATAGTGACCTAGAAGCTCAACTTGCAAAAGATAGGCTACCAAGCTAAAATGGCCTAGAAACAACCCACATTCACCTGGTGGGTTTTTTAAAGGCTATTTTAACATGATGGCCTAACTTTCGCAAGTTGGGCTTTCTTTTTTCCAAAAGCTTACATGATTTAGAAATGACCCATATTCACCTGGTGGCTTTTCTAGGCCATTTTAACATGATTGTCTGATCTTCGCATGTTGAATTTTCCAGGCCACCATGGTAAATGGCCTAGAAAACTTAACTTGCGAAAGTTAGGCCACCGGGCCACCTAAAATGATCTAGAATGCACTGAGCCTTCGAACGCTCGTTCGAAAATGCTTGACACACCCCGACTGTAACTCTCCCTTTTTTACCGGATGAAAAAATATAAAAAATCAGAAATCCAATTTTTGAAATTTCGAAATTCGGAAATTATAAATTCGAGAATTCCGAGAATTCAGAGACATTTCCAAATAATTTCAGATGTTGCCACTACACCAGTACCAGTTCAAACAACATGGAAGGTGGCACATTTCAATGGAGGATCCAAAATCGTCGTTCCCGCCCCTGACAGCATTTTGAGCTATGTGGAACTTTCGATTCAATTCAAAACTGAGAAGTCATCTGGAGTCATTTTCTTCTGGAAGGAGGACGCCAAGTTTTTGACTGTCACTCTTGAGAATTCGTTCATCAAGGTCTATGCTAGTCTTGGAGTGGACGCCACTATTTTGAGGTTTGTAGAAAAAAAAGCAAAAACAAAATTTCAAAATGTTGTTTTTTTTTAGATCAGAGAATGCTGTCAGTTTGTATCATTGGCATAAGCTGGAAGTGTGGAGAAGTGGCAAGGGGGTGCTTTTGAAAGTGAACAAACAAGGATGGGTTGAGTCTGAGCTTCATGCTTCAAAATCAGAGATTCTCGAAGGAACCGGACACATTTTCTTGGGATCTCCTGATATTCAAGACGTGCCTACTGTCATGAAGGACATTGATGGATTCTCTGGATGTGTCAAGAGGGTTAGTTGTTTTTTATTTTATAATCTAACTTATGGCTCAAACTTTAAGGTCCGCCTCAACGGAAGGAGCATTGTCATGCAATCAGTCTACGCCACCAACGTCTCCGAATGCTTCCAAGATCCATGTGCGAGCTTTGGATGTCCTAAGGGATGTATCTCCCATAACTCTGCACCAGTTTGCCAATGTGATTGGCCAAAAACTGGAAGAAAATGCACTGATCTCAGTGACACCACTATTTCTGCTATGAAGTTCTCTGGATTATCTTATTTGGAAGTGGACAATGAGGATGTGATGAGCCAGTAAGTGACATATAGTTCGATAACAAGATCCCCCATTCTCATACTTGTAACGGGCCGGGCCGGGCTTTTTTCCGAATTTCGAAGGCCCGGCCCGGCCTGGCGGGCCCGTCATTTCACAAGTTTTGAAATTTTGAGAGCTCAAAATTTGGCTCAAAAATACAGAATTTTTGAACAGGGCCCTTCCGGGACNTTATGACTACTACCACTGAAGCTCCAACTACCACACAAAGTAAGCAACGAAAAGACAACTTATACTTTCAAAAATATTTTTTCAGAAACAAAGAACATTTTCACCAACGATTTATATCAAGTGGATCAAGGAATGATGAATGGGTATGTTTATAAAAA